GGCAGGCCTGTGGTGCCCCTGCTTCCTGGCGGGCCTGTGGCGCCCCTACAAGGCCGTAGGTGCCCCTGACAGGTTTGTGGTGTCCCTGGAAGGACTTTGGTGCCCCTGACAAGCCTGAAGTGTCAAGGACAGACCCTTTAGACGCCAGGGTCAAGTTCGTCGGACTGACAACGATTCGCTTACCTGATAGCGTTCCTGGTAAGTACTCACTACTCAGCGTCCACAACATATATACACATAGCACATTCATATATACTTGTTTACAATTGGTAAATGTGGTTGTGGGTAAGAGTTAAGATACTGACTAAAAATAAAAAATAAAAATAAAAAACTGAAAATGGGGGCACCACCAAAATGAAGTGGACGAAATCCGTTGAGTTTTTAATTTTGGGTATAGGTAGGCCGTAGGGGCACCACTTCGATTCATGACCCTCCCCTTGGAGTTTTCCTGGATCCGCCCCTGCAAATAGGCACCCAACTTTCGGCGCAAATCGTGCAGAAACTTATGCGCAAAATCCCTTGCGCCGAATTTCAGCGCATGAGGGCCTCACGGGCGTCCGGCGTATTGCAAGGGTGTTTTCCAGTCTGGTGGGGACAGGCCGGAAAGATGAACAGAATCAATAGGGGCAATCCAGCTTGACAAAAAGTGATATTATTGTCCTTTTCTGCACTTTCGTATGATGTTCTCTTGAGGCATATTGTTTCCTAAATTGATGGGTTGTAGTGTTCCTTTGGTTATATGAAGCTCCTTTGAAGTGTTCCTTTGGTTTGGTCCTTTGGTGATGGGTTGTAGTGTTCCTTTGGTTATATGAAGCTCCTTTATGAAGCTTCCTTTGGCTCATATGAAGCAGGGATTTCGCATTCATTACATCATGGTGTACCTATAATAATTGCGGAAATTGCCATTATGCAATGCTGTACTTCAAGATTTGTTGACGAGATTCACTCTCCTCAAGAGTTGTGAAACTTGAAATATAATTATGAGCGCCCTTAAAGCTGCTTTTCTCTCGTTTATTTCACCTATTTCACTACGTCGGCTTCAAACAGTGAGTAGTCGACACCCTTTCATCGCCCGGATGCTTTCGGTTTCGGTGTTTCGATTGGAAACGCCCATGGAGGCGTGCACCGTAAATATTGGTCAGTTGTATACGTTGCAGATGCTGCGATGCGCTTTTTTGTGTGAGTTACATGAACATTCTAGCGAACATCACATCTGCATCCGTGAGACATTAAAGAGTCATTGTGTTTGAAATTTTTCATACATATGAGATGCTGCGCATTGGTGACCTAATGTGCAATCAATGTCAGCTGAAGTTCTAGAATCGTCATAAAATCTTGAATTGTTCGTATTTTAGCGCTTGAAGGCGTGGAATTGGTGACAAACCCATGGTGACAAATTGTTGGCTCCAACTCCCAATGGTGACACACCGAGGATGTTTCCCAGCCCTGTGTCCTAGGGTGTGCATAGTTCGGCATCTGAGCTGCACGTACAGACTATGGTGCTGAGCCCGTCCCTTGAGCGACAGTCCACCCGTCCACCTATGCGCGCTGCTGCATTCATGCTACCCCACAAGAGCCTGCTCCGTAGGGCTCCTCGCGTGGGATGTTGATTGTTGGTCAGGGTGACATCCAGCTCGGGATAGGGGTTTGGGTTTTGAGATGTATAGAGTACGCTCCGAGCAATGCTGTGTAAAGACCCTGGAGCCTCCGATGACAAACGATGGCAAGCACATGTGATTTGGGGTGGTCGGTGGGGGGGGGGGGGCTATATCAAGAACATTAGTATTTCCTTTTTGCCCGCTAAGTGCTGGTGGAAGTCATTCAAATTTTCCTTTAAAATTTTATCATTAAAATTGTCTGAAATTAATATGCGAAATCCAAAATTAGTTCAGCAATGAATGTGTCTGTTGTTTTCCGATCGAGCAAGTTTTTCTCCGCGCAATAACAGCTGACTTCCAGCCTGGAATTTATTTGTCCTTGAGCGGCCGAGGACGGAGGACGCCGGTCAGGACGGGAGGGTGCCGCTGGGGATTATTTCAAGTTATTTCAATTTGTTTAGGCTAAACAGAAGCTGTTGATAGCTGAAGTGTTTCAAAGAAAGCACGAACTTTCTGGAGAACTCACTTGGGTGTTTCAGTTGACGGTAAGCTTCCGTTTTCAGACTTCAGTTCAAATCAAGGCTATATAAACCGTTCAAATTTTGCATGGCTTCAGCTTCAGGCTTAGCAACCCAAATCTGAATCTTGGGCTCCTGAACTGATATTTACTTCATGGATGGCTGAAATATTAAAAATTTGGCTTTTAATGTTGTGAATATGGAACTCAACATCACATAATTTTGGAATGACAGATTTTCCTGCGGGAGATTTAGTACCTAGGTCAAGGTACCTACCTAGGCTGATATGAATTATTTGTCAAAATATTGGTATAGCTTTGTAAAAGGGCACTGTCACTATCTAGTATCTGCTTCTTCTTCGTGTTGGTATTTTTTTGTAAATATGAACACCTTTAAAAAATTCATAACTGTGGAAATGACTATGAGGCGGCATGAGCAACTTGTATGCTAGATGGCCTTGTGGACGGTTTCCAATGCAAATTTGTCCTTAACTCGCAAGGGCAACTGACCATTGCAAGGCATCTTTCCAATTGCCACAGACTTGCCACTCACGTGTTATTGATATTTTGCTTGCTGCATAAGTGATGGTTTAAAAATATGATGATAGAACTGAAGCCTAACTTCACTTGTTTTTACTTACTTACTTAATTACAAAGTTTTTCCCCAAAAGAAATAGGTAGTTGTAAAGAAACTGTAACCCTTGTTTTTTCTTTGCAACTAAAGAGAGGTGCTATACCCAGAGATGCTTTCTAATCAACCAGGGCCCTATTCAGTCGCTGTTTTTATATCAGCGTGCTGGCGGTTTTCCCCATATAAGGATGTTATTGCTGGTCGTACTCGGCATGAGCGGCTCCGCCGCCCGCGGAGAGGATGGTATTTGCGCGCGCATGGTCCGCATGTCCTTTGACGCGATTGGCCCGGTGCTCCTGCATTTGGTCAATTCCAGCATCTCTCTATCGGATGTCCCTCAATCCTGGAAACATTCCCTCGTACACCCCATCCACAAAACCGGTGATCCTTCAGATCCATCAAATTTCCGGCCAATCTCTATCGTTCCTATTATATCCAAAATTGTAGAGAAAGCCGTACATCAACAGCTCTACAGTTACCTATCCAACAACCATCTCCTCTCCCCCACTCAGCACGGTTTTCGGCCTCGTCACTCGACTGAAACCGCGCTGATATCCATATCCGATCACATCCTATCCGCTACCGACCGTGGAGAGCTATCCCTTCTCTGCCTGCTGGATTTGAGCAAATGTTTTGATGTGATAGACCACGATAAATTATTGACTAAATTGCAGCTTCATGGTATTGATACAGCTTGGTTTTCGGCATATCTTCACGGCCACACCCAAAGTGTCAGCCTCACTGACGCTCTGGGTGGAAGAACTACTTCATCTCCGCTCCCCAACAGCATCGGTGTTTTCCAAGGCTCCGCCCTCGGCCCTCTTCTCTATTGCATTTTTGCCAACGACCTTAGCTTGTTCGCCGAGGATGCAGTCGTAGTTCAATATGCAGACGACACCCAAATTTTGGTCAGTGGAAAAAAGTCAGAAATTCATAACGTAGTATACCGGATGGAACAGACGCTAGCTTCTCTTGACCTCTGGTTCCGTGCCAACGGCTTAAAAGTCAATGCTGGGAAAACTCAGCTGATGCTGCTGGGTAGCGCTCAAAATTTGCGCAATGCCCCAAATGTTACGGTAAAATTTCGCGATCACGTTATCATTCCCGTTTCGGAAGCACAAAATCTTGGCCTGACGTTCGATCGCAACCTCACCTGGAACACTCACGTCTCTGCCGTCACCCGGCGCTGTTTCGGCATTCTCAGTGGCCTATCACATCTCAGGGGGCGCCTGCCTCCGTCCGTCGTCTCCGTGCTGGTCAACGCCTTGGTTCTCTCGCAGCTTCGATACTGTATCACTGTCTATGGCAACGGTTCGAAGAAGAACCTTGCACTCATTCAGAAGACTCTAAATTATGGGGCAAAAATCATTTTCGGACGCAAAAAGTATGATCACGTGTCGGACCTGCTTGAGAAGCTGCGTTGGCTCAGCGCGGAGAACCTTGTGGTGCATGGCACACTGTGCATGGTGCACAAACTGCTGCGCTTCGGTGAGCCCGAGGTGTTAGCCGCCGGTTTGTCAACCGTGGCTGCCGCTAGGAGCTCACTAGGAGCGCAAGCTAGGGTGACCCGACAGGACCACTCACTATATGTGCTCCGATCTAGAACCGAAGCAGGCAAGAGGCGCTTCATCAGCCGTGGTCCGGTTCTTTACAACCGCCTGTCACCCGATTTGCTCGGGCTCCCGGTGCCTGTTTTTAAGCACCGCCTCAGGCGGCTGCTGACGGATCCAACGTGACTGAGTTGAGCTGACCATCTGGTGTGTATGTGTGCTGGTATTGTCTGTATCTATGTTTCTTGTATTATCTTGACTATGATGTATGCGAGTGTGATTGTGATGCTTGTCTCTCTTTATCTTGACTTTGAAACCACCGTTTTAATTTTTGACGAGAGGATGTAATAGCCGCTTTTAGTGGATTTCCTTAATACACGTCTGAGTCTGAGTCTGAGTCTGGGTGCTTCTTGGCCTCTCATTGGTCTAACGAATAGACCACTTGAATTTGACCAATGAGGAGCGAAGAAGTAGCAGCATGCTCGCAGCCTGCTGATAAATAAACGGGGTGCGAACGCCGAACAGAGGTCAGATCAAACCTAACCTAACCTGACCTAAACTTACAAGTCTTGCTGCCTGCACTGCTAATGTCAATGTCATAGCTGGTAGGTAGGTACCAATCAGTTTGTTACCTAATTCTAAAAGTGAGATGCCTGCTTAACATGATCTCCCTGATAATTGAATCAATCACATTTTTTTTTCAGATTCAATTCAAGACTTCTAATCTAAGACTTTCACCTGTCTCCTGCAAGCAATCAGTCTGTCAGAATTCCAGAAACCATGAAGGAGGCGGTGGGGGTTCACTGGTTCCGTCACGGGCTGAGGCTGCACGACAATCCTGCGCTGTGCCAGCTGCTGGAGACCTGTAACAAGGTCTACCTCATTTTCATCTTTGATGGAGAAAGTGGAGGTGAGTGATGTGATTGTGTTCAAGCAGTTTCTGAATTAGTTGCAAGCTGACAAGTTACGGATGTTAGGGGTGGCTCTGGCTTTGATTGATCATTCTGGCACTGGCTCAGAGTGAAAGACCTGGCATCTCTGGCTCTGGCAAAATTATGGTTTACTGGCATCCCAGGACCCAGGGACAATCCATGAGGCAAAGGGCTCAGGCCTCGGAGGCTTCCAATATTGTGGACAGTGGACACCTTGGTTGGGTACCTGCAAGCTGCAATGAATGTGGCCATATGGGGGTAATGCAGCTGGTTTCTGGATGCAGGAGGATGCATGCCATCCTGAATCAAAATCTGATCTGTGTATCCTTACACTCTGCATGCCACATGGAGCCGAATCAGGACCAAGAGGGCAACTCTGAGAATTATAACACTCACAATCTTCAATCCTGTGAGCCACTCATGTGAAGTACTGTTTTGCTTGACTCAACCCCTAAAAAAAAATCAGAAACTGATTTAGAAAATTCAAGCATCCGATATGAATTTACCATGCTGATAACTGAGGTCTGGGCATGGCTATTAGTTTGCCTCTTCTGCCATTTTGTGCATACTGGCATCAGCTCTGAACTAAATTTTCCATCTCACCAAAACACGATGTGCTGACTCTGTCCAGACTCCAGTACGGCCCCGACCGAGGTGCATGTAAACATTTGTTGATGCTAATGACAGGGAGAAATCGGGATTGACAACCGGCATCGGGTATGCGATGACCCCTCCCCCCCCCCAAACCTTGAACCATCCGAACTGTGATATGTCTACTTGATAAAATTGCCTGGAGGATGCAGTTTTTCCGGGCCAAAATGAAGTCATACTCACGTTCCTATCATTCACGCTTTTCGCAGTTAATTTATGCATCGCCATTACCGTATCTTTCCTGAAATACGATATGGTATGGTCCATCGCTGTTTGTTTTGTGGAACCCTCGGCCATCAATGTCCCTATTACTACAATTTGTGATAAATAAATCCACGCCTTTGTCGCATCGCATTTGTTATGGGCCTCGTCTATGCAGCTCGCTGCCTCCACCTCTGGCTGAACTACTATGAACGTCAAACCCCTTGAGACCCCACTTTTTTGCGATAATTTTTAAATGCGTCAACTTTCGCTGACAATATTCTGGCAATGTATGTTTCAGAACCTGCCGAAACTTTTATTACCAAGGTATTTTGACGCCAAACGATTATGGAAGGTACTTCTCATTCACTCGTAATGCTAAGGTCAATTCAGGCCCGGGCAGAGGCTTGCGCTCGGCCACACTCGAGCCCCGCCACCAGCGCCATCTGCTCTAAATGCCATCTACCAGCGCCCGCTACCGCTACCAGCTACCGCCCACCATCAAGCCTGAATGGAGCGAGAGACGCGAGTGACCGGTCGCCGGGCAAGGAGCGCCGGAGGGGTAGGGCGGAGCTTAGCGCTGACGTCATTACGTGGCTCCGCCCCATGAGCGCGTAGCCTCTACCCAAACAGCAGATTTGTTCCGTGAAATTTAACATTACGAGTGAATGAGAAGTACCTTTCATAATCGTTTGGCGTCAAAATACCTTAGTAATAAAAGTTTCGGCAGGTTCTGAAACACACATTGCCAGAATATTGTCAACGAGAGTTGACGCATTAAAAAATTATCGCAAAAAAGTGGGGTCTCAAGGGGTTTGACGTCCATAGTAGGTACCCATTACCGCTTACCCTCGTCACCTAAAACGGTACCCATCAACTATAGGTACATACCGCCGCCTGCATCGCGTGACTGACCTTTTATCGAGTCATGTCACGTTTCCGAACTGGTGCCGTGATTTCTTCTACATATTCGTGTTGTACATAACCGTTTGTGTGAGTGTTAATTATTCAGCATACTTTCAATCCGTGTTCTTATAATATACATTTTCATTTCATACATTAGAATATACATTTGTGTTTTCTGAGGCGTGGTGAAAGCCACAAGGAACAGCGGATAACGCCAATGAATGTAAGTATCTTTGTCAATGTCATTGTATAATTTCTTTATCTATCTATCGCCTCAGGAATGCGTCTGAGCGGGTACAACCGCCTGGCGTTCCTGCTGGAGTCTCTGACGGACCTGGACCGCCAGCTGCGGCTCCGCGGCGGACGGCTGCTCACCATCCGCGGAAAACCGACGGACGCTCTCCAGCTGATGAGGACAGAGTATGGCATGACACACCTCAGCTTTGAACAGGCGAGTGGGGAGGGGGGGGGGGGGTCCGGCTACACAGCACGCGCTACCCGCATTGTCTAGGGATTAACAGTTTGGTTTCCATGGAAACATGAGCAAACTTGTTTGTTACCTTTGTTTCAATGGAAATCGAAGCGTATCTTATAACGGCCGTTGGCGCCGTTCGGTGAGACGGGGCCCACTAATCCCCGCTGTCCATTCAGGCGGCTCGACTGATCCGATTATTATGGTACTGGGCAGCTGGGGTTGGCGTGTGTGGACAGCAGGGACCCAGTGTGCTGTTGTGAAGATCATGACCTTTTGATGGACGGCTGTGGAAATGGCAGTGACCTTTATGAGCTTAATGCGAAGGATCTGGTAGAATCTCAATGGCTGGGGAGAGGCGGATGTTACAGAGATGTTGCAATGTCACGAACTTGGCTTATACTTGGGTGACACGGGAGCCAACATAAAAAAGGATAGATGAGATACCGAGCTTAGAGTTGGAATTTCGTAAAAGGACTAAAGCTGACATTTGTGACTCTCTGCCATGGTTTTGACTAATCGACGTCTGTTCTCCACAGGACTGTGAGCCGGTCTGGGCGCCACGCGACGAGCTGGTGCGCGCCTGGTGTGACGAGCACGCTGTGGAGATTATCGAGCGTATCTCGCACACCCTCTGGGACCCGGCAGAGGTGATCGAGGCCAACGGGGGCGAGCCGCCGCTCACCTTCTCAATGTTTCACGTGAGTTACCCGGCGCTGAGCTTATCTGAGATGCGTCGTATGACAACCCACACGCAACTTACCGCTCCCCCTCCCCTCCCACTCTCGATTCATAAAGTCGCGACGCTTCGCTGTCTGCTACACTGCGCAGATGGGCCGTCAGCGGCTATTGACTCGAGACTGGGATATATGAGACTTTCCGAGGCTCGATTCCTTGCTATGCTGTTTTAGCGAGAAGTTTCGGGGCCATAGCGCTCTCATTTACATCGGCGGCGTACAGGAGGGCTGTTTTACCTAGAATGTTCTCTCAGTAATGAAAGCGAAATATGATCTCCGTAACATGAGAACAAAGACGGAAAGTTGCTGGTGGACTATAATTAAGCCGAGAGACCTGCTGGTGTCCCGTGCTGTTGCAATGAAGCTGAGGCAACACTGGTGTGCTCAATTATGGGCTGTGTGAAAGCGAATGGATGTATGTCTGAAATCACTCAAACATTGAGTTTATTAGCATCAAGAAATTGGTATCATACAATGGTTAATTTTATTGTAGTTTTGCTGTCAGAAGCAGCCTGCATTGTCATTTTACGCTTCGTGATAAAAGGTAATAAACTCGCAGCTTTTTCTCGCATCTATTTTTATTTCATGTTTATGTCTACTGAGCTCTCTATTTAGTGTCACATTATGACTTCGCCTTCGATGCCCCCCCCCCCCCCCCAACTGCCCCAGCAAACATACGAGACCTCCCCACTGATTTGATACGGTGTTTCTTTCACAGCAAGTGGCCATGTCGATCGGCCTGCCGCCGACCCCGGAGGGTGACCCGGTGTTCAGAGCCGGCCAGCTGGCCGTGGCCGACCCGACCCGGCCCCACGGACACCCGGTCCAGGTGAGGGGGAGATTGGCAGCGAAAGTGAGGAGTGGGAGCACTGTTCACTCAGAGCAAGTAGTGGCTCATCCATTTTCTGGAGGTTGATTGCGGGATGTCACTGGATGTGGGCGTGTGGGAGCATCCGGCCAGCTAGTGTGAGTGGGAGTCGAAACCTTAGTGCAGTTAATGAGGGGCACACGGTACTGGCAAGAGAAGGGACTTGAGGCAGTTTCATTTCTTTCATCAACTACCTGATGCTGATACCCCCTGTTCCGGCCGTCAGGCGTCAGCACCTGACTGTTCTGTTTACCGTCTGACTGAGTTCAGCAACCTCACACCGCTACCGTTTCAGCTGTTTGACGAAGTGCCGCCCGTGTCTGAACTGAGCGACCTGAAGCCGTCACCGGGCGAGCACAAGAAGCGCTACCAGGGCGGCGAGACGCGGGGCCTCCAGCTACTGGCCGAGCGGGTTGCCTGGGAGGAGCTGGCTCTGAGCCGTGGTATCGTGATGCCCAACCAGTACTGCCCGGACCTGCTGGGACCGCCCCGCAGCATGTCTGCCTACCTGCGACACGGCTGTATCTCAGTCAGACGGTGGGTCAAGAGAGGGGAAACAACGGGATTAATGGGCATACTTTAGGGTGTTTGTGATTGATGGGGTACAAAGGATAATATGTTTGAGGCGCTGAAGTCACTATGGCTTAACTCCTGATTGGCGATTAGCCAGGCTTCGTTCTTTTCTCGTTGTTTAACTATCAACTATTTTTAGGTATTTATAGTTATGGTGCCCAGATTTATATGATATCAATGATTTGCTGTTGCTTGTTCGTGACTTTATGTCCCGTAATGCGAGTCTGGTTTGTGAGGGTTCCCCTTTCTTCCATTCAGGATGTACCACCAGATCCAGAAGGCGTTCCAGGCGTGCACTGACGCCCAGGGCCACTCGCTCAGCATCTGTGTCCAGCTCGTCTGGCGAGAGTACTTCTACACCATGTCCGTCAAGAACCCCTACTATGATCAGGTAAGACCCTTCGTCTACTTCCACGCAATGTTCTTCGGTATGCGCCGCATGCGGAATATAACGGTACTGCGGTACTAACGGTTAAAATGCGGTACCTTTGATAAGGCGAAATACCGACCGAGTGATTTTCCACAATATATTTTAGAAAACCCTCGCTAGAACAATTGACAAGGGATTCGCACTACGTACTTTTACTCGCTGTTTGTCAAAGATACCCAAGATATTCAGCCGAGGCTCCATCAGTCTCGGCCGAAGCCCGCACCCATCGCATAAAAACACGCCCGTTTGCTGTGTGTCTCAGATGGAGCCGAACCCGATCTGCCTGAACATCAACTGGCGCACCGACGACCAGCAGCTGCAGCAATGGAAGGAAGGACAGACGGGCTACCCGTTCATCGACGCCGCCATGCGACAGCTGATCCAGGAGGGCTGGATCCACCACGTGGCCCGGAACGCCACCAGCTGCTTCCTAACCCGGGGTGACCTCTGGCTCAACTGGGTCGACGGACTGAGGGTGAGTAGTTAGCTCTGGCACGGTCTGAGGGTTAGCATCATATTGGCTGCTTCCTGACCCGCGGAGACCTCTGGCTCAACTGGGTCGACGGACTGAGGGTCAGTAGGGGATAGGATACTGATGTCCGAGGGACAGTATCGCTGGAATGGTGTAAGGGTTTTTGACTGCGCTGGGTGGGTAGATAGTCCGGGGGTCAGTAGCTCAACGGGATGAATGGTTTGAGAGTCAGTTATTGCACTGGGACGGTCTAAGAAATAAGAATCAATAACTGCACTGGGAGGTTCTCTAAGTGTTAGTGGAACTGGACATTTCATTGAACGATGATTGCATTGATTGATAGATTTATGTCGACATCTTTGCGGGTTTGGCAGGAGCGAACCTTGCCTATTAAGTGGCATATTAACCTTTGAGTAGTGAGTTCTGGTAACTGTTCTCCCGATAGCTGCCGTTAACTAAATCGGGTATTGGATGTTTCTTCCTTCGACAAATCAAGCTAATAAGGATGCATTTCAAGCTCCTATTAGCTCCAGCATCCTCACGACAGAGCTCTAACGTCTTGCTCCCGCTTTATCCAGGTGTTCCAGGAGTACCTGCTGGACGCTGACTGGTCGGTCAACGCCGGCAACTGGATGTGGGTCTCATCGTCCGCCTTTGAGAACTTCCTGGACACCTCTGACACCATCTCACCGGTCAACTACGGGCGGATGTTTGAGCCCACCGGCGAGTACATCAGGTGCGTAATGGCCGGACCGCTGTCACGAACGTCAAACAGTGAACACATGGTGCCCGGTGATCCGCTGCTAGACACAGTTTACGCTACAGAGACGTGTATTGGATCTGCAACCGTACATTTACATCGACAGTTACACGTAGACGTACGCGTATGTAGTTTTGTTTTGGTTGTCCAGGAAAAGGCAATCTTCATATTTAGTTATGCTGCTCTCAAGCCTTTACGAAATTCAACTACTTCATGTTGGATTTTATTCAATTTGTAGATCAACCTGCAGTGTTACGAAAGCTTAGTGTCGTTTTGACACCAGTCTTGACACCACCGTGTCCCCGACAGTGGCCACGAGTTCTAACTCATCTCCCATCTCACGCTGCCAGACGCTACGTGCCGGAGCTGCGCCAGATGCCGACTGAGTACATTTTCTCGCCGTGGGAGGCGCCGCTGTCAGTTCAGCGCGAGGCGGGCTGCATCATCGGCAAGGACTATCCGTGCCGCATGGTCAACCACGAGGTGGTCTCACGTCACAACCGAAAGGTATGACCGGTCAGGTCCCGGATGGTCGCAACGGCTTTCTGAGAGGCTATGGGACTAGCTTTGTTGGAAATGGTGATAGGTCGTTGAAGTTTAGTGGCTGGTTGCTGACGGCGCGGCCGAGTGGATAAGATGTCAGTCTCCTAATCCGTAGGCGGATGGTTCGCGGCCGGTCAGCGACTAAGTTTTATATGAGCAGTATGATTTACTGGTTGAACACCTAATGCAAATCCGGAAAGAATGTGTTCCTGTGAAAACGATGTGTAGGGGCAGAGATAATAATAAAATGTGGTTTAACAATGAAGCAAAAAGGAAGATTGCAAAGAAACACCGTGCTTGGAATGCCTACATGAGGGCAGAGAGGTTAAAGCTACCAGAGTTGGAAAGGTATAGAAAGAAATACATCAAGGCAAGAAAAAAGGCTCATTATGGTCTACGTAACATCAAAGCAAAGCACGAAGAAAAACTTTTTCATCAGATCAAAACTAATCCCAAGCTGTTTTATGCGTACTGTAACTCCAAAAACAAAGTTCGAGAGCCAGTAGGGCAAGTTACCAAGGCAGACGGAACCCCATCATCAACATACGAAGAAACTGCCGCTGCCCTCAACCAACACTTCAAGAATGTGTTCACGTTAGAAGATGACTCTGACTTGATTTACGCCAACGAATTCTTCTCCTCACTGTCAGACGAGCAAATGTGTCCTTTCACCCACTGTCGGCATCCAGATGTACCCGAATTACATTCAGTTGAAATGCCTCTTCAACATATCCTCAAGCTACTGAAAGAGCTTAAGTCCTACAAGTCACCAGGGCCAGATGATCTTCACCCACGTCTCCTAGCTGAACTCGCAGAAAATGTAGCAGTACCTTTGAGGATCATATTCAAAAACTCGATGGACACTGGACATGTCCCTCGTCTATGGAAAATGGCATACGTCACAGCAGTCCATAAGAAGGGATCAAGAACTGAAGCCCAAAACTACCGCCCAATTAGTTTAACCTGCATATGCAGTAAAGTGATGGAAAGAATCGTCAATGAACAAATAATGAGTCATATTTTGCAGAACAACATTTTGAACCCACGCCAACACGGATTTGTTTCCGGAAGGTCGTGTTTAACAAACCTCCTCTCCACTTTGGAAGACTGCAGCCGCAGCCTTGATGAAAAGGTACCTACAGACATTGTCTATCTAGACTTTGCAAAAGCTTTTGACACCGTACCACATGCAAGACTTTGTCATAAATTATACCGATCAGGGATTGGCGGTCAGCTGCTTAACTGGCTTGAAGACTTCCTCTACGATAGGAAACAGAGAGTTGTAGTCAACGGAGCCCACTCAAGCTGGGCAAAGGTGGCAAGTGGCGTCCCACAGGGCTCAGTGATCGGTCCCACCCTGTTCCTTCTGTTTATAAATGACATGCCGGATCAAATAGTTAGCCAGGTGCAAATTTTTGCTGATGACAGTAAAATCTACCGACACATCAAGTCACATGAAGATGTGGAGCGCTTACAAGGGGATCTCCAAGAGATTGAGCACTGGTCTCGTCAATGGAAACTATGCTGCAATGCTTCTAAGTGCCAGACCCTTCGAATCGGCACCAAACAAATGATGTCCGACAGACCAGTCTACATGCTCGGTGGTACTAAGCTGGAGAACACCAACGAACAAAGAGACCTGGGTGTTATTGTTGACTCCTCGCTCGAGTTCAACAAACATATCAACAAATGCACCCAACGAGCATATGCCAGTTGGGGCATGGTAAGGAGAACCTTTGAAAAGCTGAGGCCGGCAATGTTTAATCTCACATACAAAACATTTGTTCGCCCTCACATTGAATTCTGTCCCCAAGTGTGGTCTCCATATAAGAAATATAATATCAAGAAGATTGAAACAGTTCAAAGAGCAGCTACAAGAAGAGTTGTGGGACTGCAAGGGTTAAATTATCCAGAGCGGCTGAGACAGCTTAAGCTTACCACCCTAGAAGAGAGAAGAGAACGGGGAGACTTACTTGAGACCCACAAAATCCTCCATCAGCTCCACGAGTGTGACCTCACCCAATTATTTAACGTTAGAAACCGAACAGAGCGAGATTACCTCAAACTGTACAAGCCCCACCACCGGACGTTGAAGAGAGGAAGATTTTTCTCACAAAGAGTTATAAATAAATGGAATTTGTTAAGCTCTCACACCAAGATGGCTAAAACATCTAACCAATTTAAGTCAAGATACGACAAACATCGGGCAGACAGACAAGACTGACCCAAGAGAAATCAAACTGATGTAGAAAAACGCGTGATTCAAAAAAGAAATGGGCTACAACATAGACCTCGACGTCTTCTTCCAGAGCCCAAACAACCTTGATTCTTCTTGATTCTTGATTCTTGGTTAAATTTGTGCCATCTACCTATGTTCGCTTAGAGTTCATTTTTTTCGAGTTTGTGTTTCGTAAACAATGTTTGGTGGTCTAATTTTGTTAACACCGAATAATTTATGTATGACCTGGCATTACCATTATGTATAACGATTTTGTGCATTAGTTTGTTTAGTTACTTAGTGACCTGGCATCACCTCACGCCATATCCCTCCCCTCTACAGAGTGTGCCTCCTTATCTCCCACTCTACCTGCTGAGTCTCAGTTGGTGCAGTGTGTAGGTCTCACTCTACCTGACGAACCTCTAACACCTGCCTTCTCCCTCCTCCAGCTGATGTCCAAGATTGCCGAGCAGCTGGGCACCTGTCCGCCCCACTGCATGCCCGCCGGAGACGCAGAGGTCAAGCACTTCTTCGGCCTGCCGGGCGCCTCCCTGGAGGATATGCTGGGCGGACACTAGAGCGGACACTACTCACCGGTATAGTGGCCGTCTTCGGGCTGACGTGACCCGGGCTATCGAGGTTTGACCGACTATCAAACTGTCGAAAGCTGTACCAGAGGCTCTGCGGGAATGGTGAATGGTGGGATGCTCTTATACTGATGAAAACCGAGCCACGTTGGGCAGAACTGCGGGCTGTGGTATCTCCGTACCTACGTATTTGGCCAGGATAGTACTCGGTTAGAACATATCACTTACAAGACAATACTTAAACCATCACGCCGCATAACATGGTTATTGGGTAGGCTGTTTCGTCATAGGATGCTTTCACCACACCACAGAACATAGTGCAAATTGATTTGGCATTGGTTGTGAGACATTTTTCACAATAACTGGGCGCAGTCACTTTTGTAGACGAAATGATTCAGTACATAAGGACGGTCAACTTCACTGCCAGACAATCACCTATGCTAATCTACAGAATACTGCACGTTTGTGCAGCGTTGAAGTCTAACACTTAACACTGGCTATAAGAATCGTACGAAGCTTCCGTCTTTTCCTAACAGCGTGGCTACCAGCGATCAAGTCGAGTGATTTAGCCAGAAACCTACCCATATCTTCCTCTGGTTGTCCTCTGAAGCCTGTAAAAGTTCGGTCTAGATGACTGTTTCATGTGCTATAGTATTTTTCTGTTTATTGAAGTGCCAGTTCAGTTCTAGATGTCATCGGTGTAGCTTAAGATGTAAGGTTAGGCTCCTGAATGTTTTCAATATGTCGTAATTTAGTGTGTGTAGAAGCTGACAGGCTGACCTGGTGACTACTGGTTGTTCCTGTCCTAGGAATCAGTTCTGAAGTGTTTGGGAACGGTGTATGGAACGGGTATCACGAAATGCCGCATTATTTTCGTAGCAAGCGGAAGTAATGGAACAGAGGTCCTTTGCAGACATAGTTAATTGGCAATCATCTGGCAGTACTGCTCCTTCCAAGCATACTACAATACGTGTATCAGTGTTTTGATGTTCAGTGTGCTGTCTACAGGCCATAGCTTAATAGCAGTGTAAAAGACATTTCACGAGCTTCATGACAGGTACAATGTTGTGGTTAGATTTTGTTCAATGGGCATTGTCAGATATATTTAGGCGCCGTCAGATATATTTAGGGAAGTACACACTGAATATATTTTCAGTTCCGTAGTGGCTCCCACGTTGATCTGTGTTATATTACTTTGCATGCGCAACCCCCATCCTACCCGTCAGTATATCCGTATTCCTACATACATCAATGTTTTGTGTAGTGTTTTCTACGTGGCAGTGTTGTGTTAGTAGCCTCAGTATCTAATCTCAGTGTACTTTAGCACTAACAGGTGGTAGCGAATCACTCTGAGCACCGCGTCTTAAGTCTCCACTCTGTCGTGTGTGTGAACCGTCTCCTCCGAGCAGCCAGGCTCGAATAGAAGATCGCTACAATCAGTATCTTGTCGGAGGCCTGTCCGTCTATGAACATCCATCTTCTACAAACAGCGTCAGTCTCCATTCCGTCCGAACTCGCCCGCTGGCGACCGTGGCATTTCCTCTCCTCGATGGCCATCCGATTCTATGGCGTCCTCCACTGATCGTTGTCCTAAGCGTCGGACCATGACATCTCATGTGCTAGCTGTCTGCAGTGTGATTGGCTCAATTCTGGCTGTTCCATAATATCTTATAGATGTGGTGTGCTGTATTTATCGATGTATTGGTTGGGGTAGTTAGGACACCCATCAGAAGATGTATTTATTTCGTATTTTCAACGCAACTTAGCGTCATTCGTGTTCTGGAAAATCAAAATTATGACGGCTCAATGTATATTGTATGACGTGTGTATTTTCGGAAAAATAAAGTTTTTCTTTTGTACAAATGTGTTTGGTCAAAAGCGTGATTCACTTTCGGCATTGATAATTTATACAGAGTTCGTAGAAGGGAACGTGAGAAATGTCTCACGACTTTGTTAGTGTCGTTTTTTCTTTTCCTCACTCTTTGTGTCTCCTATGAGTGGACAGCGCATGGGCAATGCCTGGGTGACCTTGGTCGACCTCGCCTGTGTATCCCCTCTCCCCCCCCCCTACCTGACTCAGTGCCCCCCCCCCCCCCTCAGTGTCCGCGCCGTCACACTTGGGCAGGTGTGTTCGCACCTGTGTCCCGCCCGCCCGACCGCCTACCAGCGCCGCAGAGAGCAGTGAGCACCTCAGCGGCGCCCCGCGCTCCCTTCTTGCCCGAGGCGGTGACCTGTTCACCCTCGGATAGACGGCAGCCGCACACAGGTGTGAGTCCCCGCTCACAGCGGCTCGCTCATGAGCTTCGGACGCGGTGGGATCAAGAGTGTCCCGGAGACGGACCTGTACCCGAGTCTGCTCCCGGTCGGGTCTCGCTCTGACTCGGACCGCCCCTGGTACGGCGAGCTGGCGCAATACACGACTCCGGCTCCGGCCCGTCCGTGGTATCCGGAGCCACCTCCGCTGGACACCCTCCCCTCCAGAGCAGCCATGGCCGATCCGGAACCAATCTACATGAGTCCGTCCGAGGTGGCGCAGGGTCACAAGCACGCAGCGCGAGGCGACGACGCGGATTCTGTCATCTCCGACGCGTCACTCTCGACGCTGGCGGAGGAGCCGGGTCAGACGAGCCTCTCCGACGCGCGGTACAACCAGCTGAAGAGGACGCACCAGTTGAGGGAGAAGTTGAGGGAGTGGGAGCCGTCCGCCGACGGGGCAGGACAGGACAGCCAGCTGATGGTGTCGGCGGAGAGCGGAGTGTTCATTGAGGAGCTGCACGAGTTTGACGGGCCGAACAGGCCAGCTGACCAGGTGAGATATCGCGGGGGACTCGCTTCCAGAGGGTGGCTTTATCGGGTCTAGCTGTTCCAGTTTAGGTACACTAATTTACTTTTTATGTTATTTGATATCCGTCACAATTCACATTATGCCGCCCCCATACGCTGTTTTTTCGCAATTGCTCGGAGCATTCTGGAGATAGCTGAAATCTAGCACACCTGACCCTGTATTCATCTTGTGACACCAACCGCATTTTCAGGTCAGGTCGGGTCACTGACCTAAGACGTCCATAGGTAGGTGAATCTCTGCAAATCGACTGCAAATGTGAAAATCGACAATCACGTCAGTCTTAGCATTCGAACTGTGCAATCTTTTAGTCACCTTTTTGGAAGGTCCTTTTGAAGTTGGTGAGGGGTCTCATACATCGGCGTGGGCCCGAAAGTCTTTTGGTGGCTCTCAGAGCTCATTGTTCCCCATCGTTCCCGAAGAGCCCTCAAAAGCTGAAGAAGAGGCCCCAGGAGCCGATGTTTGACCAGAAGAGCCGATCTGCGGGAATGCATGGAGGGTATGATGGTGATGGTATGAGTTTTAGGACGCCTTGGCGACAAAGGCCATTTGGCGTCCATAACTTCGTGTCTAATATCATGACTTGTAAAAATAGTCGACAGTAAGAAAACCAGTAGAAATAATGCTGAAGAGAAAACTAAAAGATTCGATCAAGCCACTGGAAAAGGGCTGAGGGTCAAGTAAGCCACTTCGGTGATGTTACTCTCCAGAGGGTGAACAGAAGGAATGGAGGGTAGGGTTTATTTATATAATCTTATTAGATAATTTGAAGCAAGTAGAATCATTTTCTTTCGAAAGAGGTGGTCTTTTAATTTCATCAATCTCAGTAGGGAAAAATGGTCGGATAGCTCGAAAGTTGAACGCTGACCTGAGTCCCCCATTCTAAGAACAAAGTCGAAATAAACTTTAAATAACTGCATCATGTCACCTTTATCAATTGCTGTCAGTCTCAGAGCCATTGTCTCATCCGTGTATTTGTTTCATTTATTCACTCATTTATTTATTTATTTATTTATTATTTTGACTTTTTGAGTTAGGCCCTTTCGGTCTGACCAGACCATTTTAGAGCCGGAAGGGTGATAGAAATTAGCCCTCGCTGGCCGAGGGGGGGGGGGGGGTCGGGTGCCCCTTCCCCCCATAGGTTTTTTTTCGCGATAGCTCCGAACACGCTGGCGATAGAGAGCTGAAACTTGGCATACCTGACCTTTGATTCAAGCCGGATCTTTTGCCAACAACCGCATTTTCGGGTCAGGTCAGGTCACTGACCTATGACGTCTTAACCCTCGCCCATGTAGGGGGGGGTTGGTGCAACCCCCCCCCCCCCTAAGGCTTTTCGGAAATAGTGCAAAAACGGCGGCGCGCAGCGCCGCCAATTTTGGGTACCTTATGGGGCAAACCTTGCGCATCTTTTGATAAAAAAAATTTGACCGGGTCATCTCAGGTCACGGAGTTATGACGTCACAAAGGGAACAGCCTCCGGCCGGATTTTCACAAACTGAGTGCCAACGCCCGAGGTTTCCTGCCGGTGGTACGGACATCGGTTGATGGATCGTGATGAAACTTCCCATGCATGTTGGGGCAAGTATTGGCTATCATATGGTATAAGAAACTTGACCGAGTCAGGTCAGGTCACGGAGCTATGACGTCACAAGAGGAACAGCGTCCGGTACTATTTTTGAAAAGCGCCCGAACCACTATTTTGCTAATTCTTGTCACCTCAATGGGAATATGCAGCAATATTAGCTTCTATAGGGAGCAAATGGACCTCCCAAATCCAAAAATACAATCAGATTTCAAAAATTTAAATTTTGATTTTTCGAATTTCTGCCGCCGACTGTGACCTTGCCGACTTCCGGCGCTCCCAACGCGCCATTTTTAGAGCTAGGGAAACGAAATACATACCAAACGATAGAGAATTGATCAAGGAATACGATAGTGAAGGTTTCAAGTCGATATCTCCCACCGTTTTGCCGCAATCGCCGCGGAAAGTTGAAAAAGTCTATTTTTTCCGAAAATTTGACCTTTGACCGGTCAAAAGTAGGTCAAATGTTGACCTAGGACCAAAAAATATACCACCAATCGCGAGATCTCGGCGAGAGCAATCCGTTGGTCTTTTCCGCTAAGCTCTACGACGCTCCGTTTTCAAACGCCAAGGGGGGGTCGCACCAACCCCCCCCCCCCCTGCATGGGCGAAGGTGGCAGATCGCCGTTTACGGGCGAGGGTTAAGTGAACCTCTGTACGGTCTTCAGATGTCGCAACTTCGCAACGCCCTCACTGCCAGAGGAGCTTTTACAGGGAAATGAAACTTGCAGGACCTAGCATCCATTAGGATTCTCACAACTTGTATATCTCGGACTTTTCCTAAAGGTCATATGAGGTCAGGTCGTTTTCGTGACCTCTCCATTAGGTATATGTAAGTCAATGGGGAAAAATGAAAACTGCTATTCTGGCGCCGGGAACGATCTCCAACTATCTCAAGCACACAGAATCGTGCTTTCATGCACTCCTTGCAAGGTTTGATGCGTCAGTTTTGCAATGTTGACCTTGCGTGACGTCATTTATGACGTCATTAGGGTCATATTAGTTTTTCGTCAATAACTCCCGATTAAATTGAGCTAGCGAGTTGGGAAAGCCACCCATGGACTCAGGAAGACCTGCCGAATCGAATGATATGCAACATGCTCTCCTTCGACCAATTTCGTGACCTGGGGGCGCTGACCTGACCGTGACCCGAGGTCAACACCCTAAGTTGCCCTCATCCAAACAAAAAGCATATATGGTATGCCGTATGGTGTTCGCCTGAGCGAGGCGAACACCATACTGCCAAAATCGCGGCTCTTTGGCCGTTTTTTTTTTGCGAAGTTATTCACCAAAAATGGAACCGCACCTTGGCACACTTGACCTGACCTCAGAGGTCACCGGTTGACCTAGGACCTTGAACTCGGGTATCAATTTCTGCGTTTCGTAACGGCGTACACGCTCGTTTTTTTTTTCTGCGACGCGCTAGCTCCACCAGGGGCGAAACGGCGACGAGGGTCGTACCCGCCGCCCCCACTCCCCTCGGCCGGCGCGTATGTAGAAAACCAATAGCCCTCGCCGGACCTATTGGTTTTCTACATACGCGCCGGCCGAGGGGGGGGGGGCGGGTACGACCCCCCCTCGCCGTTTCGCCCTTGGTGGAGCTAGCGCGTCGCGGAAAAAACGAGCGTGTGCGCCGTTACGAGACGCAGAGATTGGTACCCGATTTTAAGGTCCTAGGTCAACCGGTGACCTCTGAGGTCAGGTCAAGTGCCCCAAGGTACGGTTCAGTTTTTGGTGAATAACTTCGCAAAAACGGCCGCAGAGCGCCGATTTTGGCAGCATCGTGTTCGTCTCGCTCAGGCGCGTCGAATGATATACTTTTTGTCCGGGTCAAGTCAACTTGGGGTGTTGACCCCAGGTCAAGGTCAGGTCAGCACCCCCAGGTCACGAAGTTGGTCGAAAGAGGTCATGTCGCATATCATTCGATTCGGCAGGTCTTCCTGAGTCCATTGGTGGCTTTCCCGACTCGCTAGCTCAATTTGATCAAGAGTTATTGACGAAAAACTAATATGACCTTGATGACGTCATAAATGACGTCACGTAAGGTCAACATTGCAAAAGTGACGCATCTAACCTTGCAAGGAGTGCATCAAATCACGATTCTGTGTGCTTGAGATAGTTGGAGATCGTTCCCGGCGCCAAAATAGCAGTTTTCATTTTTCCCCATTGACTTATAATGGTGAGGTCACGAAAATGACCTGACCTCATATGACCTTTAGGAAAAATCCGAGATGTACAAGGTGTGGGACTCATAATGGATACTAGATCCTGCAAGTTTCATTTCCCTGTGACATCTCCTCTGGCAGTGAGGGCGTTGCGAAGTTGCGACATCTGAAGACCGTGCAAAGGTTCACTTATGACGTCATAGGTCAGTGACCTGACCTGACCCAAAAATGCGGTTGGTGTCAAAAGATCCGGCTTGGATCAAAGGTCAGGTATGCCAAGTTTCAGCTCTCAATCGCCAGCGTGTTCGGAGCTATCGCGAAAAAACCCTATGGGGGGGCGGCACCCGCCCCCCCCCCTCGGCCGGCGAGGGATAGGTGATAGGTCCGGCGAGGGTTAGGGGGCTGGGGGAGACATTGGTCTTGGTACTGGGGAGTCACCCTAGCTAGTGAATCACCGAGGCTGAGCCCGTCCCGAAGGACAGGCCGATCAGCCCCATAAGTACTCACCGCACCCGGCTACGGGGTATGTTCGCTTGGGAGCAGCGGGGCCGCTCCAGAAGAGCAGCCCGTATGAGATAAAGGTGCCTGTCCAGCCCGGCCCGAGGTTTGCGGTGTGGAGGAGAAGGAGTTGTCCTAAGAATGGAAACGAAGGACGGGGTTCATCCGTGTAGCTCGGGCGGCTCTTATTCACCCGTACAGTACTGGCCGGCGGCCGCCGTACTGACGTCTTTCCCGACCTCCCTGTACACAGACCTCGCCGCTGTACAACTACAGACCTTTGTACAGCTGCCTGCTGTATAGGCCCGCCGCTGCCCCTTACCAACTGTGTATGGCCTCCTTCCACAGCTGTTCTGTGCCCTTGGTATAATGCCGCATAATGGCGGCGTCCGCACCTGTAACTCAGACCCCGGACCCGGACCAACCCGACAACGACAAATGTGACGCGCTCCGCTACAGGCGCGGCGATTCTGACACGTGTGAGTGGGTGTTGGGTGGCGATAGGAACGCGGTGGTGACGATCGTGCAGCGGCAGTGATGTGACTGGGATAATAGTGATGTGGTAGTGATGTCACTGATGTGACATGACGTAAGGTGTCTGACAAGACCAGTCAAAACATGGACAAGAAGAAAGACTGTGATTCAGACTCCGAAGATCAACCAAACTCTCGAGCAAAAACCAAACGCAGCAAAAAGTGGCTGAAGAAATTCTCGATCCGAAAGTCGGTGCGGGAGAGCTCCCCGGAACCAGACAAACGGTCACGCTCACAACCCAGCTCGATACGACGCAGCAAGCTCGGGGCTTTCAGGTCAACATCAAAGAAGACAGCAGGAGCCGAACATGACAGATCCAAAAGGGAATACGTTTTGGATTCGTCGGGTGGGCCTTGTAACACCGACTCTTCGTCGCGAGAGCCCAACCTTCAAGACACGAGCCGAGGCGTCAATGCTGAGCCGTCCGTTCCTATGTTTGAACCCCCGCCTCCCCGACAGGCCTCCCCGTCCCTCCTCCCGTCCTCCCCGCCTCCCCGGCAGCGACTGACCGCCTCCCGGGCACTGCTGGCCCGTCTACGCCGCTCCCTGCGAGTTCGACCACGCTCCCGACCCGTCAGTCGACTGGCCCGCTCTGTCTCCGAGAAACAGCTGGCCTCTCTGGCGAGCATCGAGTCTTTTTACACGGCTGTGGTGCCACCCGAGACACCCTCACTTCCGCCACCACCAGTGAATGCACCGCCACCGCTACCTCCACTAGACCAGAGGCTGACGGAGACGGAAAGAAATGAGCAACGGCGTCGGTCTAAGTCGCCTGGGGTTCTTACTGCCTATGGAGACCATGTGTATTCCTCAGCGGAGGTCGGGGTGGATAATCTGGATACCGAGTCGTCTGAAGACATATGGACGTTGCTGGAGCAGTTGGTGTCCTCATTAGAGCAGCGATTAGAGGGAGCAGTGTATGAACATGCCACACTACCTGCTCACCGCCCGGCAGATGCTGAACGATCCCCACCAAAGTCAGTGGATCGAGACGTTCATCATCGATCAACGTCGTGTCATACGAACGAGAACAAACAGCCCTCACCAGCCTCGCGCTCGCCATATTCTGATCCACTGTGGGCTTACAAAGCAGCACGACCTCACAGCTTCCCTGCCTCAACCCTCCCCCACCAATTGGATGAGAGCCCCTACCTGGACATGACCGGAGTTCGGCCGATGACGTCACACTCATCTAACGTCACCGACGCACGAGTGACGTCACAAACAGCTGACGTCTCCGATGATCGGCTGGAGTCGCTGAATCGACGGCTGGAAAGTGTGGCGTTACAGCAGAGTTTCCAGGAGTCAGGTTTGAGGTTTGACCGGCCACACAAATCGGAAGGAACTGGAAGGGTTAGTTACTTGGTTCGTGACGGTTACTCCGATAACCGCAAGGCTGGTGGCGGTGATTCTTCAGTAGCTGATGAAACTAGTGATCACCCACGACCTACGGCCAGGCTTGCCACGGATAGGGGTCGGGTGATACGGACCCGACCTCTGGATGACAGCCTCAGCGCGTCTGAGGCTAGCATCAGCGGCGGGCCCGACCCGGACCTCCCCTGGCCTGCCTCAAACTGTCGGCATCTCCAACCTGGAGCGACTGCTAACCCCTACGATCTCTCCAACTCTTACTCGTACAGCCTGTATGACGGCTCGGCAAACTCCCGAAGGCCCAGGAGTGTAACGTTTGGAGATACGGAGACACGGCACAGCAGCGGGGCAGTAGTGCCGGCCAGCGAGGTGGAGCTTGTCCAGCTCCGACGACTACTGCACGAGATCCGCTCGGGGAAGATCACACTTCTAGTAAGTCGGGGGAGTGGCGGTAGAAAGCGAATGGTGTGATTCATTTTGTAGAGGCAAGGCCGCTGATGGGTAGTATAACTATTTTGCTATTATCTATACCTTCCTAAGGGAAGATAACAAACGATTTGGTAGGGGGACAGAGCACCTACCTACTTAGGTACCTACGGGTCATGGCCATGGGAATGCTCCGGTGTTCTCAAATGCTTTATTTTGTTATAAGCGCCAAATCAAAATGTTGCGCACTTCCGAGTCTCGAGTCCTCTCCTCCCCATAAGAAGGCACCGGCCGTCGGCCTCAGGCAGGCCGGCCTGGCAAGGCACTGGATAATGCTGTTCCGCAGCGCAGTCCTGCCCGGCGGTACAGTCTACCAGTACAGGCAGCTGATGCGCCGTGTCGGGCCAGTGGTGTTCTCGGGATTAGCCTGTGATTTACATAATTTAAATATCTAAATAAAAATATTATCAGGAGTATGAAAAATAACCTCTTGCTCATATCTGAAGGAATTAAAAAATTAAAGACCAATATATATTCGGGCGTGGCCCTTCCTCAGTGGTACAGTAGACCGGTTTACATAGGGTTTGTTGCAAGCTTATATCTCCGTCCGTGATGTTGCAAAAGATGCCAATGGTGCTTAACAATTTACAAAATGATCCCCTCTAAATATTTGAAGACCACTGCATCGAAATTATTGCCAAATTAACGAGCTAGAGCCTCGTCAAAAATGCTATGTAAACCGGGTTAGTGTTACAATGGAACAAGAGAGACGTATGTGACGTATTTGGTGTGTCACATACGTCTCTCTTGTTCCATTGTAACACTGTACCACTGAGGAAGGGCCACGCCCGAATATATATTGGTCTTTAATTTTTTAATTCCTTCAGATATGAGCAAGAGGTTATTTTTCATACTCCTGATAATCTTATCAACAATGCTCAACTCAACGTTTCAATACCTGAAATCTAAATAAAAATGTTTATCAAAATAAGATTTCATTTTTGAAGTGTACATAGGGTATTTTGTTTCTGATTTTACAAGTTAGTTTAGATTCTTTTATCATCATAACGAAAACATAATTTAGCGGTGTCGTCCCTGACCTTGGGAATTTCATCAGCTGTTTCGCCAGAACCTATGCTGCCAGATATTGCGCACCTGTGACGCTCGGCGCAAGTGTTGCATTCGGCGGCGGGGCGACAGCGCGTGTTGTGTGAGCCGGCGGCGTGATCTTGGAGCTTTTGGGCAAGGCTATAGAACTCCAGGTAAGGACACCAGCCGTTTGACCTTGAACGCCGCCGGCCGGCCGATGACGTCATTGGAGGCAAGCCGGCTCGGCGGACACACAAGGCGAATGCATAACGGAGGGGCGTTGGAACGTTGCGGGAGCCGGGGAGATATTTTAATGTGGTTGTATACCACCATTGTTATGTTTATTGATCTACAGACTGCATTCTTTTAAACCTCGATGCACTCTAGGCCTGGATGGTTCGTACATTCGTGGAACGATCACCCCGTCCGAAGTCCGTGGTCGAAGCTGTCATAGTATTAAAGACACTAAGACGGGTGCAATAACGGCGATCCGATCCCGTCTCTGGCTAATCTAGAGGGGTCGTAAGGACCCAGGCCGAATCTGACCGTCTATTTTTAGGGAAACGGGGTGGGTGAATTGACAACCGATGGCTTAAGAGATAATGAGAAGAGATCCCGTCGTCGATTGTTGTTTGACAGACAACACATGTTTTACTGGACGTATGACCATCAGAGGTAATGCCTGAACGCAGGCAAGCATAATTGTTCTGTCATAGGTACTGTTTAGGAATATAAAATGGTAATGGAGATTATTGAGGATATGATCTCTACATTACAGGAATTCGCTAATTACTACGACCCATAGGGGCACCGCCGGAGCTGTTGTTTTGCCATCGGTCCCAGGCAACTCCAGGGAGCTGCAGTACCCGGCGGCCAAAGCGGCCCACCTCGTCGACTCGCAGGTCCTGTGGGATTCCGTGATGCTTTAGTGCTTCACCCACAGAAGCACGGGCATAGCAGTAGGATGTGGGGCTAGGTGTCTGTCCACCTCTTCATTGAAAGAACAACGTATACAGCGCCTGGTCCCGCCGAAGCTCGGTATCGACCGTGACTTATTCACAACTGGCGGATCCAGGAAGCGGTCTTGGACACTGCGGGGGCTTACCCCAAAAAAGGTTTCTCGGAATTAATTTAAAAAAAAACTCTGATTTCGATTCCTTGCGCACTGCTGTGCAGTGTGATTAACCAACATTTCCTCAGAAAAGTTGTGAAGTTTTCTTTGATTCTCGAAAAGCGATTTCGGGCGCTGCCAATGTGGGGGAAGACATTTGCCCCAAATGCCTTCCCCTGGATCCGCCAGTGGGTTGCCCCACTCCGAGCTTGACTAAAACCATTTTCAAACCCCACCAGAAACCGATGGTAAGGTGAATTTAAATCCAATAACTCATCTCTGTCTGCCCGCCTAAATATGTATACAACACATGGTACGGCACCCGGCCCTGTCTGAGCTATGAGCCGATCGCGATATTTTCGGCTTTCCCCAACCCAAGCTCGATTAGGAACGTTCTCCTTCCCCACCCGATTGCTGATGTCAATTCAAATTCAATACCTCATCTCTGTCGGCCCGACCATAACCCATTCATTGCACACCGTTCAGCGCCCCGCCCCGCCAGAAGTATCCTAGCGCGCTGAGCAGTTGCCTCCAGCCGCGTCATCGCGAGGCCCCGCGCGGCCCATAAATTAATACATTGCGCGAATAGCCGTGTCGCCCCCCTGCTTTTGGGAAGGGAAAGTGTTAGAACTTGAATTGTTTTTGTATATTAAGTAAAATAGTTAGTAAAATTTAAAGCCTTCTTATCGATAGACAAGTCGCCGTTCCAGACACAAAGATCATAATGCTGGCATTACGACGTGTTGGAGTGCGTGCTGTTCAGGTATGATTTTTTTTGTTATATAATACCAATACGTACATCAAAGATAAGGAAATATTATCTGAATTCGAAGGGATACAATTGTTAAACATTTCACCCATAGGTGCTCAGACCTCTGGAATTCCTTGAACTTATGGTGACCCAAGAAGTGAGACATTTCAGCTCTCCACCTTTGACGCAAGGGCCTAGAATAACAACACTGGTCTGTGGCCAACCCCTCTTGGCTTCAAAGCTCTATTCCGTAGGTATTTACAGATTTCAAAGTTATCACCTTCCAGTGTATTCAGCATTCACTTAACTCACCCAATCATTCTGCAGCGTGGCAGCTCGCTGCTGAAGCCTGGTGAGATGTCTGTAGCCCTGGACTCACCCGCTGGCAGGGCTCGTGTAAGCCAGGTCCGACTGCGCCACTCCACGCCAATGAACACAGTCATCATGTTTGTTCCCCAGCAGGAGGTGAGTGTGTGTGATTGGGAGACAGAATGCAAATAACCATCTGCTTTGACAAATACCTTTGTTAAGATCAAAAATTTTAAGTGACTATTAATTAAAAGGAAATTTAAAACAAAAGCATGAATTAACAAGAGCCTCTTCACCTTGAATGTGGGTGTTGAGCTACTACTTGCTATTATCAGGTAGCTGTGAAACTTGCTTGATAGAAGCACCAGTTTTTTCTAGTTAACTTCCATTATGTGACAGCCTGGCTGCCGGCTTGTATGGTCAGTTATCTCATGACCTGCCCTGGGCGGCAGGCATGGATTGTGGAACGAATGGGCAAGTTCAGCCGGGTTCTGGAGCCGGGGATGGCCGTTCTCGCCCCGCTGGTCGACCGCGTTCGATACGTTCATAACCTGCGAGAGATGCCCATTGAGCTGGCTAACATACCGGCAGTAACCCAAGGTAGCCGACCGGGGCAGTAACCCAAGGTAGCTGGCTGGGGCAGGTGCACGGCAAAAGCTCGGTGTTGGAGTGTTGGGCTGGCGAGTGGCGGCTGCAGTGAGGCTCGGTGTTGAGTGTTTGTGTCGACTGCAGTGCGATGAGAGCTCATAATGAGGTGTTGAGCTAGCTTGGCTAGTGTAGACGAGTTTGCCCGCCGTTTAATGGGAGTTTGTTGGCACTCGGCTGTGTGACGTGACGACTGGACGCAGCGAGTGGCGTTCAAGTTTTTTTTTTCTATTGGCAAATAGCGTCATTGTAAATCAATTGCTGCAGGTACCTTCACCTAAATAAGGAAGGTTGTTGCTTGCGTGACGGAGGTACCCTCTGTTTCGCGTCAATTAGTCAATGGGCTACTGCGGTTTTAATTTATGGTCACACGTATCTGTGTTTTGTCATGTGCAGTTATTCGGCATCGTTCTGCCACGTTGGCTTTTTGACATCGTCCAGGTGGCGGGCTCTGAGCTCTGAAGTCCCAGGATCTGAAATTTGGTTACCTACGGCGCTTTTGGGCTGCGGCAGATATCTGCTGGTTTTAACTTCGTTGCGTTTTTACTGTATTCATCTTATTTCTGTGATTATCTTTATTACGTTTGTTTATCCACATCAATCATTTCATCATTACGTTCCCTCTCCATGAGATGGCAACACTGAATAATGAATATGGCATCACAGTCACACATAAAATATTATCATTCGATCGAAATGTTGCATTCTATTTATCCTATTTGACGGACGCATTACACCGTAATAACACGATCATCGAAACGGGGCAAATGAGATAGTGTCAGTGGCCAGTCGGATGGTCTTGGGGGTCAGTCAGTTTTGTTTCGCTGTTTCATCTCGTCTCCATTCGCCATTCTGTTTTACTTCATTACGATTCATTTTCACACCGCTGTTTTCAAACATGGTCGGACTGAGTTTTTTATCGTTTTATTATGTTTGCCGTTGCTGTTATGTTTATCCGGTACGTTTCTGAGCTGCACGCGGGGTCCAGACTGGTAAACGGCGGCTCCGGTCCCATCTATGCGTGTTTGCACTATCTAACGGCCGGGCCGCTGGCCGCCGCGACAGGCATGGGTGGTGGAGCGGATGGGCAAGTACTCGCACGTCATGGAGCCCGGCCTGAACCTGCTGCTGCCCGTGGTGGACCGCGTCAAGTACGTGCAGAACATGAAGGAGCAGGCCATCGACATCCCGCAACAGTCGGCGATCACCTCAGGTGAGATGGCCCGTCGCGGCTGAAGTGAGGTGAGCTACGGCAGGACTCCTGGATGACCTATCACAGCAGGTGAGACAGGACTGTCCTAGACCCAATAGCTGGTTATAATGGGTAATGAATGCGAAACAGGTTGAACTAGCCGTTTTTCAAGAGTATTTGAATGCGGCGAGAGACGAAACATCTTTCTCTTACAATATAGCCCTGGCCGGTTAATCACTACTGATCACCACTGGGCCAAATTATCAGCCGTTGTCATCCTAGACGTTATTTAAGGTGGCATGAGGATGAGTTCATTGATTTCTACATTTTGAACCGCGATTTCTACTCCATTTTGCGCCCGCTCATATTTCACGTGATGATGAAAGATTGTCGGACCGTGGTCTTTGGACGCCCTTCTTTCGTTATTTGTGTCAATCTAAAAACTGAGCGGTTCTCTCCTCTAACCTGCCTCCCGTGTTATCAGACAACGTCACTCTGGCCATCGACGGCGTGCTCTTTCTGCGCGTGGTGGACCCGTACAAGGCCTCGTACGGTGTGGAGGACCCTGAGTTTGCCATCACTCAGCTGGCCCAGACCACCATGAGGTGAGAGTCCGGCTCAGCCGCGCGCTGATGGGTCCACCGGCGGCCTATCCACAGGAGAACAGCCATAATGATCGCGGAGTCTTTATTGCGCGATAGGGGACGGGTGAAGGGGGTGGTGCCGCTGGTAGCTAGTTGTATGGGTTGCTGGGTTTAGCATATCGGAGCATATTGATATAGATCGCTGTGCTTGGCACGATTAAGTGTTAACATGAACTCTTTATGGCTGCGAGTGCAATCTCTTTTGCAAACTGCCACGTATTTCGTCGTTTTGCTGTTGCTTGTATTTCGTGCATACAATCTAACAGATTCTAACACGCATGATCGCAGAGTCAATGCCCCTCAATGGAAGAATCCTGCGAGTTGAGAGTTACCCAGAGCTGGCTCACTGACCATTAGCTATGCTGAGCCTGGTTTCCATTGGTCTATGCGCCATATTTGAACCGTATTCTCGCCTGACACCGACTGTCTGTTTCGCCAGGTCCGAACTGGGTAAGATCCAGCTGGACAACGTGTTCAGGGAGCGTGAGAGTCTCAACATCGCCATCGTGGAGTCCATCAACAAGGCTAGCGAGTGCTGGGGCATCACCTGCCTCCGATACGAAATTCGTGAGTAGTTGCCAGGGTTCTTTTAATATATGGTTCTTAATAATATGGTATCTTTTACAGTGTAGCTGATGGTAGGCGTTTTTATCCTTTACATTAATCTACCTATCGGTTATTTTCTGGTAGCGATAACTATATTATTCGCGAAAATGTATAAGAATTGATTAATGGCCGGCCTTTTCGTTTTAGGGAATGAAAAATTGTTCGCGCTGTCATCACATACGATCGTCATAGTGCATGCTCACGGATTTCCTGTACAGTTTGGAGAATTCCGAATATTCAAGTGTATGCATCACTGAGAGTGCGTTATGTCGTCACCGACCTAAATCTCGCCTTTTCCTCCGTCAGGTGACATCAAGCTGCCCCAGAATGTGCAGGAGGCTATGCAGATGCAGGCGCAGGCTGAGCGTAAGAAGCGAGCCGCCATCCTCGAGTCGGAGGGAGTGCGCACTGCAGAGATCAACGTGGCAGAGGGACAGAAACAGAGCGTCATCCTGGCATCGGGTGAGTCTGTCGCTCTGTCCCGCCCCATCCTCTCCTCCAGAGGCCGCCAGAGTCGGGGGATCCATGGATCCAGAGGCCGAAATCTGAGAACCCTTGAGTGTTACCAGATTGCAATGAGCGCTTCTGGTGACGGAGCTGCCCTCAGCTGCTTGTCTGCAGTAGCTGAAATGTAAATGTCAAACGAACTGTATATGGTTTGGGTCATGTGCTGTCTATAGCCTCAATCTCAGTGGTGCTGAGTGTATGCATTGATCGAAGTGAGCGTGGCGCGTGTTACTAGGCCAGTCTTTCGTTCAGGATTCACGGGGTTTATTTGCGTCTCGGGAGATTGCTAATTGTCGGTTAGATGAAAGCTTTCCAAGCTTAAAGATTCCAGATTCTTTTGCTAGTTCAATCACATTGACTCCACCGTTTCACGTCCACAGAGGCCGCTCGTATGGAGCTGGTCAACAAGGCAGAGGGAGAGGCTGAGGCTCTGCTCTCTGTGGCTCGCGCCCGCGCTCAGTCGCTGGCCGTCATCTCAGAGGCACTCTCCCTGCCCAACGGACAGAATGCCGCCTCCCTGGCCATCGCCGAGCAGTACGTGCGGGCCTTCCAGAGCCTGGCCAAGGAGAATAACACTATGCTTCTGCCGGCCGACACCGGTAACATGGCCAGCATGGTGTCCCAGGCCATGGCAATCTACGGCAACGTCACCGCGCAGAAACAGAAGCCGGCGATAGGTGGCAGCACTGACGGACCGGCAGGTGGCAGCACTAGTGGTGCACCGGCCGGTAGTGTAACTGGATCAGACGTTACATCGGGAATGAGCTAGGTTGTAGTAGATTACTGAAAGACAGTGGGAATGAAGATGTCTTCCGGACTCGGAGGTCATTTGGTAATGTCTGGTGGACAGTGTACCAGCCTGATCGATCATCCCCGTCCGTGATGACTCCTAACGTTGACTACTAGGGATGCCGATTGCCTACATACGACGGTTTCCGCTCTAGCGTAACAGAACTGCCACCAAACTGGCCCACATTGTCAGATGGTGACAACAAGGTCTATTCGTGATCAATCCGCCATGTTTCCTCGGTATTGAGATGCTGGTGGGAGTGCTAGCCGCGCCCCGATGCCGGACGCATTTCATAGCATGCCATTGGACCAACAGCATTTTGTCTTGTGCGCCGAGATAGAACAATCTGCGTGGAAACGGCCGTCGAGACTGATTCAGTCCCTCCGTGTGTAAGGTCGATCTGGTAGTGGGCTTACCTGTGACCTGAATAGCGGGGTGGGTGAGACTGTCATCTCGGGAGGATGATAAAAATGGCCTGATGTCGCCCTGTGACTATACCCGAGAGGTACGTACGGTCGTGAGCTGCTCGGGCCGGGACCCTGTACTCACTGGTGTCTCCCAGTCCGTCCAGGCCACAGTACCGAGATAACTGACGTTATCCGTCTAACCCATCGCGCCGCCGGCCGGCCGTCTAGTCGCTGAGTGTGAGTGTCCGCATCTCGTGGAGTGGAGTGGGGTCGTTCAGGTGCTGGGTTCGATACTGGAGTTTGTCGTGGGGTCGTCAATAGCGCCTTGGCCGCTTTGTGCGGCAAATGTAGTCGTGTGTAGTGTTTGGTGCCGTTTATATGGGACAGAAGTGATGCGGTAATATTGGACATCCCGGCGCATATGAAAACGTTATGTTTTGGATTCGTCGTTACAGCGTGGTCTTTGCAATTCGGTCCGTAAGACAAGTGATTCCTGGTCCTCCGCAAAGACGTGGTCTGGTCACTGGTCCACAGTTATTCCTGGTCTTCAGTAAGTGGTCCGTGGCACAGGCGTGGTCTTTCATCCGAGGGCCGTCGTTATGTCATCACATGTTGCACTCGGTCCAACGTGTTGACAGGTAGCCATGCTCGCTCGCGGCTTGCTGTGGGCCTTGTGGATACTGTTACCCTACTGAGAATTATCGGCTCCGGAGTTCGGTCGTCAAATACATGCGTGATCTTTCAGGGCATATGCCTTTGGGTGAAGTGATAGAGGCGGCTCATCCACAACTAATAGTGAATAGAAGTTCTTACGTAGAAAGGAGACCCATGAATTTTAGCGGATTGGTATGAACGGCGAAAATATTCCTGTCTGTACGTAGCTTTGCAATTACCATGGTTTTGTAATTTGACGAAGCATCATTGTGGTTGCTGATCCACAAAGGCAAACTTGTTGGCTGACAAATGATTCTTCTGCAAATGTTATGTGACAGCTGTTTTGAAAACTGGCCGCCTCGTCGGCCAGCAGAGCTACTGCGACAGCATGCGGTAAAGCCATGCAGTTGTGCTTTCAATCCAGATCATAGATGGCGTTAGCTGTCTAACGCCTGAATATATGCTGTCCCGCATAGCATTAGCACCGGCTCCGTGCTTGCGCCCGTTCTTCGACAGCTTTATTTGCTGTTTTGGAAAATTGTGAAATTTTTGGTTTAAAAAAATTGATAATACGTTTAAAAAGTGTTTTCTTAATTGGCTGTTTTCCGCTAGTGTAGGTACCAATCATTATTCCGTTTTTTATAGCATACTTTCATCACGTGATTTGCATTTCTTGACTTTTCTGGTTTCACCTTCAACCTATATCTCCCCCCTGGTCATGCCCGACTCTTCTAAATATGTATATAGAGCATCAATTACAGTATTTTTTGTCATACTTATTGTAATTAATACCTATACCTACAGGCATTTACCTATGCGCATGCTGATGCATGGTTTGCGTTACCTACTTCGTTATCAAATTTACATTCGTTTGTGATGCTTTTTATTACACAAAGCCTACCTAATGCGTGATATAGCTCATATTTTTTAATAGAGTCCGTCGACATCGACCACCCATCATCAGCCCCACTGGCGTCATCAGCCTCCGGTGACTCGTCACTTCTGGTGCAGTCGCCAAGGCGAGCGGGGGATTTACCGTCGAGATGCATTGTGCAGGGCCTTGCATTGTGCGATCCGAAGCGCCGGTCAAGGATTCACGGGCTTCTTAGCTTGATTCTTTGAGGCATGTATGTGCACCACGCTCCAATAAAAGACGGATATGAACTGCGACTTTCCATAGAGATAACGTGGTTCAATGTCCTGTAAGGCCGTATAGCCAGCGCTCAGCAATCATGACAGCTCCCACAGAAGGCTGTTATTTGTGGACGGGATGGAAGGTGGAACAAATGCGGCGGACGGCCGTGACATGATAGGTATCGATGTGAGCAGCTAACAAGACTGGCAGGATCACAGTCACAGGTGACAGGGCAAATGTCTATTCGACTAGTGGCTTTGGGGTGTGGGCAGGGTCTATTGTTGACTTGTCGCATGTCACTGTACAGGAGGTATAGTTGGCGACACCGAGCCTTCACTACCGCTCTGGGCCAACTCATCGCACGAACATAAGATTCCGGAACGTTAGATGATATCAATGGCGTAGACAAACTACGGCTACATTCGTCGCGCTGATAATCTCGTTGTCATAGCAGCCATGACGACAATGCGACTCTCATCAATGGAACTTTATACCAATGCGAATAACGACCTGCCGCTTCATTGTCTTCATTGGCTGACAAACTAATGGCCATAGATATCGTTTAATTGTATGAACCCAGGCGAGCTGGTAATTAGGCTACATAAAAAGTCATTTTATAGATATCGATCGGATTTGAATTAACCCGCGCACCGGCGGTTATCCGCCCCCCCCCCCTGAGGTTTTTCGTGGATAGCGGGAAAACCGACTATTCTCTGATCAATTGTACACATGGTGTGCAGGTTTGAACCTCTTAACTTTTAAGGTCAGGTCACCAGGTCACTTTGAATGACCCAACCTCAAGTCACGTTTTTGCGACTTTGTCACCGTGCCAGAGCTACAGTGGATATCGGAGGCCTTTGAAAGTCGCATGATGTTATAAGTCATTAGTAGCTACAAGTTGTATATCTCGGAATTTTGATATCGATGACCTAAGGTCAGGTCATGATTTTCGCCTCGCCGTCGACCCCATTTACCATGAATTATGCTTTGTCGTTCGGCTGTGACATCGACTCGGTGAAATGACCCAAACGTTCACCCCGACAGTTCAGCTTTGACCGCACTGTTAGCTCGTATGGGTTCACTCAATACAATCACGTCAAAAATGCAATGCGTTGTCGGGTGATCGGAAATGAGCATTGACCATTTCTTGGTTCTATTTTGAGCACTCGATCGGTATGGCTGCAACGGGTCAAGCTTCGAGAGCGAGTTACTGTAATTGAGCGTGGTAACCACTCATAGGCGGCGGAACGGGGAGGGCACCGGGGCACCGTGCCCCCCCCTTGATTTTGGCATTGTAATTTGTAACATTAGCCCTATGGGCGTTGCATGGAAAGAATGGGACCATAAGTCGGCAGTGCCCCCCCCCCCCCCCCCTTAATTGAAGGTGTTCTGCTGCTACTGGTAACCAGCTATAATTAACCAGCTATAATATAACCTGCTTATAATTATGCCTCTAGGGTAGGTATGTTTGCATTTCATGCAATGAAACTCATGTATCCATTTAGACTCGGAAAGACCGCCTCAATGCTGCCACATTCGACACTACTCCTTTCTGCTGTATTTTCAAGCTGCATTTCATTGCTTGTCTATATAAACTGTGACATGTAATCCTTTTGTGTCTCGTTATCCAGACCAGCATAATTCAAAGAAAGGCTACTTACGCATTGATCCACATTGCGTGTTGTATAGACGTGAGTTCACTGCGCCCTCACTTATTAGTTTGTTAAAACTTCCCGTGAGCAACCATTCTCTCGATGCAATAGATTACATAACTTATTTGATGTTTTCCGTGCTACCTCCGACTGTGTAGGAAAGGTAATATAGATCACCTTTTAGCAACTTGAGCAATCGTTTCTGACACGAGACAAGCATAATGCCACATCGAAGTTGTCCAATAGAATCGTATCCAAGGCCTATCGACACAATTATTGACGCCAAATGTCCCTCATTGCACGAAATAACTGTATAGGAACTTTACTTAGCATGCTTCCACAGGCGTTACTTTCTGGAAATTTTGGGAGGGCTCTATACGGTTAATTTCAGAAGAAGCAAAGCCCTTCGTACCCAACAATGTTATATAAGGCTAACGTTAAAATGCGAAAACAATCCTATATAAAACAACACCCATGGCCATGTTGGGAACGCTTCCATACTTTCAAAATATATGCTATTTTTCTCAAAAGGTATTCAGCGTTTTTATGAAGTTATACCAATGCTTTTATGATTTTTGTTTTGATGTCATGATTTCTGAAGGGTTTTTGGCACTTTTGGAAATGAATGCTAGGCTTTAGTTCCATAGGCCTATATATGCTCAATGTCGTTTTTCGCTTAACCAAAGGCTCTCCTTTGAAAGTTAAAGCATGCACCACGGATATCTAATTGACTTTTCTCGGCGCGTGTATATGCCAAAATGCAGCAGAATATGGAAGATAGGTACATTGACGGGTGCAGAGTGCAGTGCAGCTGCTCAGAGACAGGTATCTCGTTACCTCAACCATAGACCACTATATATCTGGACTGTGCACGGATTTTGCCGACTGCTATTAGGGCCCTGCTGGGAAATTCGACGTAGCACGCGGAAATCGGAATTGTGTATTGACGCTCTAGTAAGCCCATTTAAATGAAAGTAACTTCTTAAATGTGATGTATATTTTAATAAATGTATAATTTATAACATGATTTTTAACACGATAAATAAATAAAAGCACTTATAGACAGGTATATCACACTGTATTAAGTTCAAAGCATCAATAGACAGGAACAATCCGTGATCGGTCGTTTTTGACAAGAGACAGTCTGATGACATATTGGACACACTGCAGATTAATTTGCCTGTCTAAATCAGACACGCACCCGGCTCAATGCTTTGAAAGCCCACACGATCTGCGCCACGGAATTACGAAGATTCCTATGGGTAAATAACAAAGCTGCCGGTGCTGCGTTTTTAGCGAGACCGTCCGAGGTGACCTGCTGGGCCACAACTGTTCCCTGCTTCCACTGAGGTCGATTTCATGCTCAGCATAGGGACAGACGGGTTCTGTCATCTGTCCCTCTCGAGAGAAGGGGACTTTTGAACACCGTTGTCAGAAATGGGCAGAAAATGCCCTTCTTTTTTCGATGATTGCGCTAATATGATATATTTTTTGCTCAATGTAAGATATAACTCAGATTACAAATTGACTAGTGGTGATGTTTCCCAAAGCACATCATCATATGGCGAATAAGTTGGCTGTGACGACCTTCGAAAGTTAGGGCCCTAATGGCAGGGCCCTAATTTCCGTGCACAGTCCAGATATATAGTGGTCTATGCCTCAACCCATCTTTGGTGAAACACATCACAGGAACATCAAGTCACCTCATCGTCTGGCTTACACTGGATATAAGCTGTTCTGTAAGCGTCTTTATCGTCAACTTCCAACGAAAGCGTCAGTGCTATTCCCTTCTGATCCACCGTCGAATACGACGGCGTGCCCTACCACACATACTTCTGAACGCCCTCCTGAAGTCTGCACTGAACAGCACGAGTACCACTGGACTGAGCACAGCACCCAGACTGCTGCTGATCAGTACGATCAGCAACATCACAATCCGCATCTCCGCCGTGATGACACATACGGAGCGACTGTTGACCAGACCCACGCCCAGTGTGTACGGGAATATCACCAGGAAGAGAATCACTATGAACGCAGTCATGGAGAGAGTGGCCACGAGGTCCACTCTCGTGGCCGGACGCGGCTGAAGCGACGGCAGAGGCGCTGGCCTGGTCAGAGCTGAGGTGGTCGACCCGCCGCTCCCGTGGACCAGGCTACTCGGCTGGAGGGCTACCCCGGTCGGCACAGCAGCTCGGGTGTTTAAAGCATGTGGCGCTGGTTCAAGATCCAACCTGCCACTCGCACTAACCTCCACAGGCTGAGGCTCGACGACAGTCGGCCTCCCAGCAGAGGTCTGCGGCTCGTCG